TACTCAATAATCTTGCGTGCACTTAGCAAAGGGAGCCACGAGCTAATTATTTTATAATTGCGTTTATATCTCTACAACTGTATTTTAATGTTCGCTTTTTCTGATGTTTAAGGTTTAATGATTAAATGAGCTTTTATTCACAATATTTTTTTTTCAATTTATTATGACTGCAAAAAACAGTTAAAAAAGTTTTACAGAAAAACTCATCGCCCTTTTTGTAAGAATCCTTAGACAGAAAAGTTTCCACAACTCAATTAATATAATGTATTAGTGTTTAAAATTTTCTTATCGTTTGAATGCAATGGAAAAATCTTTTCTAAATAAAAGAATTGAATTGTTTTCATTGGTTGTAAAACAACAAAATTTAAAAAAACAGTGACTCAACTTGTGTTAGAAGAAATATATTTTTGTTAACATTAGTAAATAGAACTTTTCAAGGCTGTCAACGACTATTAGTGATCGTTTCGAACTTCTTACAAAAACGTAAGTTAATATCAAAATAATTTTTTTTTTCCATTTTTCTTTATTCAATTTATCAATAATCACTTGATATAAATTTCACATTTTTATTTAATATAAAGAAAAACAAAGCTACCACTGTTTTTGGGAAAGAGCTTTTTACTTGCTCTGGTGCGAATTTTTTACTGATCTGCGATATAATTTTATTTCTCTTACCTGACTACTTTAATGATGCACCACTATGTAGTGCTAGACGCACTTGCAAGATTAACAAGTTTCACCGTATACATGCAGAAAAGAATCACAAGTATATTTACCTTAAAAGCATTACCACAAAAGTAGACCTAACTTTGTAATTTCCAAGAAGTTAGATCCCAAATAAGTTAAGTCAGTCATAATTGAAAAGTATTATTTAAAAATTTAGTGATACTCGTTGTTATAAGGCCTCATTAACTCACAATCAGAGTTATTGAAAAATATTCTTGGAGTATCCATGTATTTAAAAAGGTCAAAACCAAAATGAAATTGAATTATTGACTTTCCCATTTATAACTATTATTTTTAAAATTTTTATGTGTATACAAATTGCAGATGTAAGACTTCTTTACACATTTCGTTCGAAAATAATCAAGTTGAAAGTAAATAGATAAAAAATTCATTTTTTAGGTTTACTACATTACGGTAACTCCCTGAGAGCGATACATTAGAGTCAGGAGAATAACTCAAAATTTAAAAAAATTTTTTACTATTTCATCAGAAAGAAGACAAGTATAAAACAACATGATTATAATTTATGATTGACAAGCATAGAAGTTGTTCGAATCCACTAAGAAATCTTAGTGAAGCGAACTATATTTCTATTACATATACTTTTTTATAAAGTGTTTTCATCTTGAAACTATTCAAGAAGTTGTCATATTAGGAGCCTTCGTTTTCTTGGAAAAATTTATTTAGTAAGTAATGTTTCTAAAATACGTATTACGACATCAAAATTATATAAAATTTTATGAATTTTTTTTATACTTCAAATAGATGCGAGCATCTTTGTTTCAAAATAGTACTAATATAAATTAAAAT